AATCGTAACATGTACTTAGCTAACTGACCAAGTCCAATCAAGTATTGTAAAATAATTTTTTTATATGTTTCACATCGTGTGAAAAATCAGTTGTGTAACTTTAACATTTTTTCTGTTAAAAAGTATTAACACTTTTTAAAAACCTGTGTAACATGATTTAATCACGGGGTATATAAACAGTGATACGTATAATTTTTTCTTTTTGCTTTGTTTGTTCTGACCAGTGTTAATAACTTTTATTTATTTTTTTTCTAGCATAGGTAATTTCATTGCTAGCTTCGTCGTTTTGGTGTCGTCGCTCCTGTTGGTGCTGTTTTATTGTTGTCGACATTTAATATAGGCCTTCGTGGTTCTATAGTTTTTTGGTATGTCTCAATCGGAATCGTTCATCGTTACTAGAGCGTGGTGTCGTTGTATCTTGGTCATTTTTTTATTTGCAATAACTTCATTGGTTGTTGTTAAGTGCCGTTAGATAGGTTTTTCTTTTGGGCTGTATAATTTCATTGTTCTCATTTGTGGATGCATTCACTGACGCCAACTAACATTTGTTTTCGTGTAGGTTTTGTCGTTATCACTTTTCATATTTGTTATAGCTTTTGTTATTGGTGAATTTATCGTTTGGTGACTCTTAGTGGTTGTTGTGGCTCGTCTTGGTCCAAATCGTTTGTCATTTAAGCCGTCGTTTTTGGAGTGTGGTGTCATTGTGATTTTGATAATTTTTAGTGATCTTTGTGTCAAATAATAGTTAGTCATTTTTTTTATTTGCAGGTAATTTTCATCGGTTTAGGTGCTGTCGCTTCAGTTGTTGTTGTTAAGTGCCATTAGGTTGGTTTTTCTTCTAGGCTTTGTGGTTGCATTTACTGATGCTTCTTATTTTCGTTTTTTTGCATTTGTTATAGCTTTCGTTATTGGTGAATTCATCGTTTGGAGACTTTTCGTGGTTGTTGTGGCTTCTATTGTTGGTGGTTTTGGCATATCATTGTTTGCATTTTGCTTTTGTTGTTATCGCCGTGTATATTAGGATAGTTGTGTTGGCTTAATGTTCTATAATACAGGGCATTAGAATAGTTAGTGTTTAGTTTTATGGGTAGTATGTATATTATTCAAACTGTTTATTATGCAACAACGCTTGAAATGTTTGTTGTACAACAATGTTTAAAACGTTTGTTGTGCAACGATATTTTAAAACTATTGTCTGCACGATTTTTGTTAAAAATAAAATTTGTAAAATATTATATAAATAAAAGATATCCTACATTATTATAGTATTAATAAATACGGGTATATGTACCCGCGAGTATATAATCCCGATAATATCATAGTCCCGTAATCCCAACTTAGAGCTTCGTGACGTAGTTTAGAGCTCTATTTGATCTTAATATTCTATAATAAATTGCACAATATTTCACAATAAATTGCATAATATTCCGTAATAAATTGCATAATATTCCATAATAAATTGTGTAATATTCCATAATAAATTGCGCAATATTATGCCCAAACCGTAATTCTTGCACAATATTACGGGCTGTAATATTTTACGTAAGATTACAGTTATATATTTTGCTGATGTAATTGCTCTAAAACAAAGATTCCTGACTTTTTCTCTTAAATAAAGCTCTTGATCTGTTTTGGCTCAAGCAAGTTTACTATCTCAATACCTTCTTCTGTAAGTTCAGGCTTTTTTCCATCTCCTCTGATCTGAAACTTAAGTTCATTTGTTTCGCTTCTGTCATGATTCTGTAGATTAAGTTTTGCTTAAGCTGTATTTTCCTCAATCTTGCTAGTTCTAGGCCTAAAATGCATCTTGAGCTTTTGCAATCTATTTGTGCTTGCTGAATTCTGATCCATACAGCTTTTCTAAGATCATCTTGGCTATTTATTTGTTTTCTGAGCTCTGTTACATGATGTGCCATTTGGTTTTGCCAGATTGTTTTTAGCCCTGCTATGTTTTTGTGCGCTAGTATAGCATTGGCTGATGTGATAGCCAGATCGGATTTATTCTTTATCAGCTGTACCAGAGGGCTCTGCAACCTGTTGCACTGCTCTCTTAAAAGGACACTATGTTGTAGCCTATACTCCAATCTCGGCAGGAGTACTTTGTTGTTGATATAAATTAGTTGTGCTAGTGTCGAACTTTTTCTTGATAGAGCTTTTATTATTGTATTAATTTCTTTTTTGGCAATATCTAGTGTGATGCTGGCTAGATTTTTTGAATAGCCATACTCTCAAGAATCTCGTTGGTTTGTTAGACTTTTTCTCAATCACTTTTTCTTTTGTTAGTCCGATTTCTATACATCTTGACTCTCGCTTCTTTTTCCCTCCTTCAATTATCAAGAGCTCTGATTTTTTGCTATTTATTTCGATATCATTTAATTTATAAAATTCTTGTGCAATCTCAATTGTTTCTTCTAGCTCCTGCTGGCTGTTTGCTATTAATGTGGTGTCATCTGCATAAGCGATAACTGAAATCCTCAAATCTTGTTAAAATGTTAAGTTCTTTCTAAGATCGCTTGGCCACTATACTTCTAGCCTATAACCTCGCTTCGGACTTTATTTCAGTAAGCAAAGGGGCATAAAAGATTCGCTGCACCAAGGGGGATATTACTTCTCTTTGATCTATACCATCACTTGCTACGAATCTCTCTGTTGTACCAATACTTGTTAAGACCTCCATTTCTCTGCTTTTATATAAGCTTAGAATAAAATCGACTGTCGTTTTAGGAAGTTTAATTCGTTTCATAGCTAACTCTTGCATTTTTAGCTCTACTGAGTCATATGCTTTTTTCATGTCCTGAAACATCATCTATATTTCTTTTTTCTTTTCTTTTGCCTCCTCTATTAGGTAGCCTAGTAGGTGTATCGGTGATGCGATGTCTTCGCCTAGTAAGCCTGCGAAGTTTCTCTCTCTAAGTATTTTCTTCTCTCCTATAACTTTGGTTAGTCTGTTCATTACAATTCTCACGACTGTCTTTCTAAAAGACTCCAGGAGTAAGATCAGTTGAACATTGTTGAGCTTGTAACACCATTCTTCTGTTTTAGGTATTGGGTACAAAATACCTAGCTTCCACTTCTTTGGTATTGCGCCAGACTTTATACATGCTGAGGCGAGATTTATAAAGAACCTTTTCACGATTTTTTCTGCCTCTTTGATTAAAGAGTATGTGATTCCAAATATCTCTGGAGCAGACATGGCTTTGACTTGTGCGAGGGCGCAGTCCCACTCCGCTGTGTTAACGTCATTTAATACTTCTGAGTACTATGTCTTATCTATATTTTTCTTTGGGGAGTATTGTTTTGCCCACCTTTCTGGCAGCATACTTGGGTCTGTTGTGTTTCTTTCTTGGAATTGCTTTTGAAAATGTTCTTTAACCTCTTCAAGGACTTCCCTTGGCTTGTATAGAAGTTCTGCCTTTCCATCAATTTCTTTAGCAATTCGGTCTATTTTAATTTTTCTATAAGCCCGATCTAGCAGGCTATTGATCATTTTCCGCTGATTCGACACAATGATACTATGTCTCTCTTCTATGCATTTTCTTATCTCCGCTTCTTAATTTTAACCTGCCATTCTTTGTGCATAATTTTGGTCCAGATCTTGAGGTTTTCTATATTTAATAGCCCCGAATTGCCTAAAAGATTTCTATTATTGTTTTTTTAAGTTTGGTTCAATTGATTTAGTAACCTTTCTGCATCTTCTCTCTGGAAGGTGCCTTTTTTGATTTTGCGACAGCCCTTGTTGCAAGCCTTGACCACTAGTCTGAGATTGCGTGTTTTTTTATTTTCTCTGCTAACTTGCGAGATTTCTGGATTTTTCTTTCTTTTTGGCAGATATGTATTGACAGCCATTCTCATACAATTTTCTATTATATCCCATTTTTTATCTAAGCTTTTTGGACCTCGCTTTTGCCACTGGTCTTTAAGTTTTTTGTTTAAGAATTCTTTGTATTGCTGCCAATCTTCTTTGGAGGCTTTGTCAATATCTATATTAACTCTTTTTCTGTTTCACCGTCTTTGTTTTGCTGGCTGGACCTTTCTCAACTCTAGACCTGTGAGAAGACTTGCACGTATAAGTTTGTGATCGCTTGTTGTTCATATATCCATCTCATCAACTTTACTATTAATGATGTTATTTCTTCACTGCTCTGATATCAAATATAGTCAATATGAGTTTCTGAATTCTTATTTGCCATGTTGGCAGGTTCATTGTTTCTTGCACATCACAAAAATTTCTCTCTTCTAATGTTGATATAATTTTTTGCCTTAAATTTGTCCTAAACTGTAGCTCTGAATGTCTTGTAGCATTGCTTAGATACTTATCTGTACTAATATTAAAGTCACCAAGTACGATAAAGCGTTGTAGCTTCTTTTTGTGTTGCTCTATATTATTCATTAGCCTTTCTAATATCTCTGCCTGTACATTTTTGTTGCTTGGAGCGACATATACAAAAATGATATGTATAGTAAGCCCTTTGAAGTCTTGGCTAATACTTAGAAAGTATGGGCTAGTTTTGTTTATTTGTGTGATGTGTCTTTCCCAGGACTTTTTTATCAAAACACCGACACCTGATCCCTTCTTTTTGTTAATCTTTGCATCAGCTCATATACTTTTGTAGGAGTCTTCTTCTTTAATTGCGAAAAGGCCTTTTTACTACAAATATTAGTTTCTCCAATTCTTAAAATATTTATGTTTTTATCTTTTGCGTAATCTATAATCGCTTTCAGCTTATTCTTATTGTCCTTCAAACCATTTATATTATAAAACCCTATATTTAGAACTCCAAAATATTCGTAAGTGTTTTTTTTCTCTTCTTCAAACTCAATATAAATCTTTTCTAGTTCATTTCCTCTATGCTCCTTCTCTTTTCCTTTCCGTAACTATGAGATTAAAAATTTTTTAGCTACTCCTTATAATCGTTAATTTAAATAATGATCTCTCCAATCATAATATTTGTTTTCATGTGAAGCCTATTTATAGAAGATCATTGATGATCTTGCCATATCTAATCTTCTATAATAACTTGTAGTATCAGTAATAGTTTTTGATAATAAAGTTTTAATTGGTCACTGTTTATAGGTTTCTTAAGTATTTTTCGGTCTAATGTTCGTAACTTGTATGCTCCATTGCTTAAAACTTCATGAACATAATAAGGTCCTTTTTATGGGTCTATTAGCTTTCTTTTTCCTTTTAACTCACTTCGATATAACAAGACAAGATCTCCAATCTTATATTTAATTATCTCTTTTAAATTCTGTTCATGTCTCTTCTTTTGGTACTTCTGAGATTTTTTAATATTCTTTTGAGCTTGTATACGATCTTCTTGTAACTTTCCTATTAATTGATATATTCTCTACAATAGAGTTTTCTGCTCATCCTCTCCTTTCTCTTGAAATGCATGAGTTTCAACTTGAAATTCTACTGGCAAGATGACTTCTCATCCATAAGTTAAATAGAAAGGTTCATGTTGAGTTGTATTATGTTTTATAGTCCGATAAGCAAATAGCGCAGAAAGTATATACAAATCTCAATTATCTTTGTTTTCATTTGAAAACTTTGCCAAGGTTTCATATAAAGTTCTATTAAATCGTTCAACAAGCTCATTTGTTTGTGGATGATAAGCAGAGAATAATTTATGCTTAATTTCAATTTCTTTGCATAAAGCCTCTATTATTTCATTAACAAAATGAGTTTCTCTATCAGTAAGTAGAACTTTTGGACATCCATGCCGACAGATTATATCTTTATAAAAGAATATAGCAACAGAGTCAGCTTTTGCATTAGGTAAGGCTCGAGCTTCAGGCCATTTTGTTAAGTAATCTGTTGCAACTACTATGTATTTATTTCTTTTATTAGTTATAGGTAGTGGTCCAACAATATCCATTCCAATACGATTAAAAGGCTGTCCAACTTTAATTGGATGCAAGGGCTCTGTTCGAATAGGTTTGCCTCTTCGTTGACATTCATCACAAGTTTGTATATACTTCTTAATATCATCATACATCTGTAGCTAGTAATAGCATATTGCTGTTTTTCGATAGGTTTCATTAATCCCAAAATGTCTAGCAAGAGGATCTGAGCGCAAGTTATAAAGAATAATATCAATTTCATTTTGCTTCACAACTTTGAGAGGTCTTGTAGGTTCTCTTTTGTTTTTCTTATATAATTGTCCTTCTATAACAATAAAATATCTTGATTTATTTTTAAGAGCTTTAATCTCCTTTTGTTCTAAATTTTTGGGCCAAGTGTGGTCTATTAAATACTGCACGAGGGGATAATATATATTTAAATCCATAAGTGTCCGTTAAAATCAAAAGCCAAAATCCAAAAGTGAAGTTCAAATATAATATTGCCGAGTTATAAAACCTACTTTTTTTTCTCTTTGTTGTTGTACTAAACTTGTATTCGACTAAGAGTATCTGTGTTGGTGTGTGCTTTTCCAGATCGGTTTATAATTATAAAATTATAGCCATTAAGAGTCATAAGCTATCATCCAAGTTTTCCAATTGGGTTTGTCATGTTTTTGAAATAAGCAAGAGCAGTATGGTCTGTTATTATAGTAAACTTTTGTCCATACAAATAATGATGAAAATGTTTAATAGCCCAAATTACTGCTAGATACTCTAGTTCAGTAATTGAATAGTTCTTCTCATAGGTATTAAGTGATCAACTTGCGTAGGATATAACATGTTCTCTATTATTATTATCTTTTTGTGCTAGAATTGCTCCAAGCCCAATTGTTGACGCATCAGTATATATAATGAATGGTTTTTCAAAATCAGGATAAGCCAAGATAGGTGATATAGTAAGATATTGTTTTAGCTTCTGAAATGCATTTTGTTGGTCTGTAGTCCAGATATAGTACATTTTCTTTTTTAGCAATCGATTCAAAGGTTTAGCAATTTTGGAAAAATCCTTAATAAATTTTCGGTAATATGAAGCTAATTCCAAAAATCCTTGCAGTTGAGTAGTATTTCGAGGTATAGAGAAATTCTGTACTGCTTTAATTTTCTTTGAATCTGTTTGAATTCCATCTTCACTAATAATATGTCCAAGAAAAGAAAGTTTCTTTTTGAAAAAGAAACATTTTTCAGGATTAAGCTTAAGTCCAGCATTTTTAAAACAAGTAAAAACTTCTTTTAAATGAACCAAATGCTCTTCAAATGTTTTTGATCTTATGTTAATATCATCAATATACACTACAACAAATTTCCAAAGTAGATCTCGTAGTATATTGTCCATAAGTCATTGAAAAGTAGCTGGCACATTGCATAATCCAAAAGGCATAACTGTAAACTCGTAAGTACCAAATTGTATAATAAATGCAGTTTTTTCTTGATCTTGAGGGTTCATAGGTATTTGCCAAAATCTACTAGCCATGTCCAAAGAAGTAAACCATCTTGAATATGCTAAAGCCTCTAGCATATCATCAATTCACGGTAATAGATAATTGTCTTTTTTAGTAACTGTATTTAATTTTCTGTAATCTACACATAATCGTAGCTTTCCATTTTTCTTTTCAACAATAACTACAGGAGAGGTCCAAAGGCTATTTGAAGGTTTAATCAATCCTTGTTTTAGTATTTCTTTTATTTCTTGCTCAATAAATTTTTGGTTCTTGTAAGATATTCGATAAAAGTTCTGCTTGATAGGAGGTCCATTAGTTTGTATAGCATGAGATAGAACTTTGGTTTGTCCAAATTTATAAGGTTCCTAAACAAATAGATCCTCATAATTCTTTATGAATTTAGTAAAGGCATGAACTTGATTATCTTCTAATTCTCCAAGATTGTAAACTCTCTTTTTGATTTCTTCTAGTTCATTATTTTTCTGAAAATAGAACTCTCTTTCATATACTTGTTTAATGATCTCTTTTTCAATTCTTTCAGCTTTTTCTGCATAACAAAATAAACTTTCATCTTCTGGTATTTCAATATCAGATTCATATTCCTCTTTACTCTTATCTTCATCATCACTATCCTCAATGATTACTTTATCCTCTTCTTTTTCCTTTTTTATTTTAGGAGCTTCAATACTAACTTCATGATGTGGAGCTTGCTTTGATTCAATAGGTACTTCAATAGTTTGGTTATCCCAATATAAGATCATAATATTCTTATTATAATTTATAGTTGCTTTTGTCTTCCGTAACCAATTATTTTTTACTATAGCACTATAAGAATTGAATTCTGTAATAATTGTATCAAAAGGTATAAGACATCCTCCAACTTTTAAAAGAATACCAGTTACTGCTCCAAGAGGCCTTCTTCTTTCTCCATTTACATTAATCATTACTATTTTTGAAGCTTGTGTAATTTCCATATCTAAATCCTTTAACAAGTTAAGAGACATAATACTGCTAGCAGATCCTGAATCAATAATAAGAGGAAAGCGAATATGTTTAATAGAAGCATCACAGTAAAGAGCTGTAAAATATTTATCCTGGGTGTGAGATACAAGTTCCTTCATAGGTTGATCTTGCTGGTTTTGATGAGTTGATGACGCTGTTGCTTTTAATTCTTCTGGTTTTTGCTCTCTATTATCTAATTTTGTTTTCAAGTTGGCTTGATCTATCTTCTTTACTATTGGCTTCTTTAAGTATTTAATAACTACTTGGCTAAATTTGGGGTTCATAGCTAATAATTGTCTATTTGTAATATTTGCTGCTTGATCAAAGAATTGCTGAGGTGTATAGAGCTTAATTATATGATGAACTAGTGGTAATAATAGCTGTTTTTTCTTTTTAGTTTTTGTTGTTTTTATTACTTTTTTTTTACTCTTGTCTCATTCTTCTTCTTGCTCCTTTGTAATTTCTTCTGTTCTTTGTCTTTTTGCAGAATAGGTATCTAGAAATACAATATTGAAAAAGGGCCAGCAACATCACCCTCTGGATATTGGACTTTTAGTTTAAAGGTTGTTGTAACTGGACTTGTGGCTGAATCAAAGGTTGAATCGGTACTTGGGGTTGAGGCTGAAATTGAACTTGAGATAGAATGTGTAGTGCATATATGAGTTGTTGTGGTTGTATTGAGATCTGATGAATAGGTTGTTGTACCAATCTATTATTATCTTGAGGAATTAGTTGAGCCAAAAGGTGAAGAAGTTGTGTAGCTTGATTGCCTTGATGTTGGGGTTGTACTTGAGCTTGAGCTTGTGTTTGAGTTTGAGCTTGAGGTAGTATTACTTATAGTTAATAAGGGATTGGTTGTAGGGATTGCAGTAGGGAACATTTCTGTTTGTAATTGAGAGCAATTTCTTCTTGTATGTCCAGATTGTCCACACTAATAACATACAAATGTGTTGGTATAAGTAGATCGAACAGGGGCTTGCTGAGATTGCTGTATTTGCTGTGGTCTTAAATAAGTATTTGATTGAGGATTTTGATAATTGTTTCTTAAATTATTATGTCTATTTCCCAAATTTAGTTGTTGAATTTGTTGAGTTAAATTTTGAATTGCTTGATTCAAAATATCCATTTGAGTGTTGGTGGTAGAAGCAGCATATTTGTTAAAATAAGAGTTTACTGCATTGTAATCTTGATAAGTAAGTTTATAAGCTTTTGCTCTATTAACAGCACCATCCCAAGTTTGGTCATTGTGAGGCTTAACATTAAGGTAAAGTTCAGGCAATAGTCTATTTACAAATCTTTGAGCTTTAAGGGCTTCAGGAAAATTAAAGTCACCATGTTCAACTCTTCTATATAACTCAATTAAAGCAGCGGTGTAATCATCTACAGATTCCCCAGGTCGTTGTTGACATTTTTTTAATTCTGTAGTCCAAATCTCTACAAGTGTTTGTGATCGAAATGCAGCTAGAAAATTAATAATAAAGTTGGTATTATTATTGTTTTCATTAGTCCAAACAGTAATTCTATTTGGATTATTATTTGTAAAGCTTGATTTGTAGTCCACCAAGTAGCAGCAGATCCTTTAAGATAGGCAGGTACAATAGTAAGTTTACGATTATCTCCTATTCCATTAGCATCACACGCCTTGGTAAATTCAGAAAGCTAGGTAATTGGGTCTTGATTACTATCATAGAAATAAGGGATTTCAGCAACTTGAGATTCACATGGAGAGGCATTATTAATAGCCAAGGTATTAGCAACAAGGGCATTGTTGGTATTTGGTAGAGCACCAGAAAGAGCTCGAATTGCAGCAGTGAGAGCTTGAATATCACCTCGTTAAGCAGCCATTTTAGGTTTTTAGAATAATAATAATCTTCAAGTTCTTGATTAATATCTTGAAATTTTTTCAAACTTGGTAATAATTGTTACTAGTGCTTAATATAATGGTTCTCCTTATACTTTAAACAACTTGAAAAGACCTTGTTTATAGGTATTAGTAGGAAGATAAATATTGTAGGTTTCTTGATATGTATTCTGTAACAAAGCTTTTCTTCATGATAGTATTGAATATTTACTGAAAAATAATAGTTCAAGATTGTTTTGCAAAAGAAGATTGATGTAGAGGATTTTGAATAAAAAGAATGTAAAATAATATATGCTTCAAAGAACCAGGAGAAGTGTTGAGATTAAATATATTCTTCAGAAGTATTCGTTATTCAAGAAGGGCAATGGATATGATAGAAGAAGTTTCAGTATCTGTAGTATGTTGTTTGTTTTTCCAAAGAAGTAGTTGGTAGTATTTTTTTTAAGATTTAGTGAATGTAGATAGGGTGAGTTTATCTAATAAATCCAGGAATTTTAATTAAATTTTCACCAGAAGGCACCAATTGTTGCGATGGTTCTTTATTAATCTGCAAGTTGTTAGTAGCAGAAGGTTTTCTCTTTATTAAATAAGGCACCAGTTAAACAAATAAAAACAAATAAAAACACAATCAACTAAACAAAAATTCAAATTCTAACTAGAAACTATTTAATAAAAAGAAAATGATAAAGAAAAGTGACAAGAGGTTGCCTAGGGGTAAAAGTAATAAAATATAGGAATATTAAAATAGTGTTTTAACAAGAAAAACGAATATTTAGGAGGGTTTTAAGGGTATTATTAAAAGAATATTTTTAAAGAAGAATATATTTATAAAGGTTGTATTGTAGAAAGAATTATAAGAGTATATTTTTATTTCAATTCTTTAATTCTTGTTATTGTTCTTATTGTTATTGTTTTCAAGAGGCAAGAGAGAGGTTATATTTATATCTTTTTAGAGCTCAAATCTTCAAAACCAAAGGTGGTGTTTGTGAAGAACCAATAATGTTTTGTTTACGTGGTGCTTGTAGTGTTTTGGGTGGTGTTTGAGGTGTTTTATATGTTACATGACTCTTTGTTTTGTTTCTAAATTGTTCATAATGTTTCTAAATTATTCTGCAACTTTCTATAACTTTCCTTTATCCTCTAAATCTTTCTATAATATTCTGTGACTTTCTTTTTCTATATAAACAAATAAAAAAAACAACAAATAAACATATAACAAATAAACAAATAAACATATTAAAACAAAATAAACAAAACTAATCAAAACTAAATAAACAAAAAAAAAAAAATACTAAAACTATCTACAAACAATACTAAACTAATATCAAAATAAAAACAAATAATAGAAAATTTCTATAACCGGACTCTTCTCAACGATCATTTAAACCAAAAATCTAACTAAATAAAAAAAAAACAAAATTTTTGTTGGAGAGACGTGGCTATGAAGTGGTTTGTCTAGAGGTCAACGTTGCTGTGCGGGACTCCTCTAAAGAGACATTTGGCATGCAAGCCAAGAGCGTTATTATACAAGATAACTGGCAGGTGGTGCCCTT